TTGTTCACTTTACAGGATCTGTCCTTCATCTAAGGGGGGCCGGATGTCAAGTCTGCTAACATTGGATGTTATTGCTTGACATAAGTGAAGAAGCAAACATATCTATTTAGTCTACATATTGCCTCAAGAGCAAAAGCAGGCATTGCGGGCCAGATGAGGGGGGAGGAATGCCTGTGAATAACTACATTATCTTAGCATACCACAGCCAAGGTCAAAGCAGCAGCAGTTTGTAATAACAGATGAGACGAGAAGAAGTTTCACACCTCTGTTTAATTGGAGCATATGATTGATGACTGTGAAAGGAGGGAGGGAGTTGTGCTTGTCGCGAGAGCTAGGATGGGGGGGTGTTTCAGTTTTTGGCTTTACTTCGTTCGTGCCGGATTATGTAACTCATTAAAGGATTCTTTAAGGTAATTATGCCTAAAAGTTCTCTGAAAAGTAATTTCTTTCGGAACCTGACACTTATGACCATTGCAGCATGCCCAGGGTCATGTGATTTATATTTGGATGCTTGGCAATGGATTCATATTTATGATGGTCACAGTGTCCCAGGGTCATGTGATCCCCTTTTGCAACCTTTTGACAAGCAAAGTCATTGGCAGGGCTGCTGGTGGCCAAGTGCTAAGGTGGGACTTCCTTCCCTCCCTCCTTCCCTGCCTCCCTCTTTCTCATTCCCATCTTCTTCTGAAGGAAGAATTTGAACCCCACCCATTTCCCGTCTTCTATATATTCATTGAACAAGGAAAAGCCTCCAGAGACAGAAAAGACAAGCCATTGAGGGAACTAGCTTAAAAAGGTGCATTCCCCTTTAAGAATTAGCTACTGGCTAGAAAGGAATGTTAAGGAGTGCAGTGGGCACTTAAGGAAGAAAAAAAATGTAATAAGTATGGCTGCTGGCTAAGGCAGCCTCCCCAAATGGCTCCATTCATAAGTAAAGGAATGCTACAGGCAAAATCCATTCAGGAAGAAAATACTTCAAAATCCCTTGCAGCAAAACTTACAGCTAACAATAGCAAAGCAATGAGACATCAGCCATGAGTCAAATAGAAATTACCAAACACTCCTTAAAAACACAAAACCCACATTGCATAAATCCCAGAACTTCAAAGTCACAAAAGCACATAAGAATCCTTCCCCTCTCCATCTCCCTCCATGCCTCACCTCCAGCTGATGCTGCCTTTCTTTATTGCTGCCTTTCTTCATTGCTGCCTTTCTTCATTCCTCATGGAGGGCAACCCATCCTCCCTACGTTCCTTGCCTCTTGGTTGCTGCCAGCACAGGTGGCTGCCACAGAAGTTCTAGATCCACTTGTGGCTGGCCTGCTTGATTTCCTCTCCTCTCCCCCCACCCTCCTCCGTCTCTTTCCAGCTGACTCCACCTCCTCCCAAGGCTGCTTCTTTTTCTCTCTCTCCTTCTCCCAGCCCAAACTGCTTCCTTTCATAGCCTCTCCTGTCTCTGCCTCCTCATCCTCCTTTCTCATGGGGGAGGGGGGTGAGCCGAAAGTGAGCCTGGGGCCTTTGCCTCATCCCAGCCACTCTGCAGCTCTAGAGGACTCTCTCACAGTAAGTCCTTGCCTGCGCTGGCTCGTTCCCTCCCCCACTACACTTGGCTGGGCAGGGCAGCATACCATCTGTCATGTGCTCATGTACCACAGGTGGTACACATACCACCGGTTGAAAAGCCCTGCTGTGAGCTGCCTAGAGTCATTTTATCATGAGATGGTGGCAAATAAATTTAATAAATAAATAAATGTTCCGGTATTATACCTATTTTTAAAAAATGTGGTTTTCTTTTGAATGGGATCCCTGCAATTCTCCAAAACATGCTGTGTTCCCCATCTTTTGGGTCTCTTTCCATCTCCCACATATCTGGCAGGAAATTCCTTCTGTCTCGGGGCATTTCCAGTATTTATTCCTGTTGGACTTGTGCAATTTGATGATGGAAACTTTTCCCAACCAGGAACGATTTATGTTTTTCCATCTTTCAGGATCCCGTTTAATTTCTTGCTGCAATTTGCTTTGGAAATGATTTAGAACAAATAATATTTTCAGGACTGAAAAGGGATCTTGACCTGAACTAACCCACTTGGTCTCCCATTCTGGCCCCTCCTGTGTCTCCTCCGTGTCCCTCCTCCCCCTCCTCCCTTCCAGTCAAGCCCACCGTCTCCATCTCCCCCACCAAGCTGGATCCTGCTTCCCCCAACATCCTCCTCCTCTGCACCGCGAGGGGCTTCTACCCCGTGGAGATCGAGATCCGGTGGCTGAAGAACAGGCAGCCGGAGGAGGAGGGCGTGGCCTTCGGGGAGGAGCTCCAGAACGGAGACTGGACCTACCAGCTCCAGGTGATGCTGGAGACCCAGCCCCAGCGGGGGGATGTCTACGCCTGCCAGGTGGAGCATGCCAGCCTGGAGGCCCCAATCACCGTCCAATGGGGTGAGCCCATTCCCTCCCTCACCTCCTGCTCTGGGGACCCCATCCTGCCCTGAGAAGGGGGGAGGGACCCTCCCTGTGGGGGGAGCTGGGATGGAGCCTCCTGGGGGGGGAAGCTGGCCTTGATCCTCCTGCTCAGGGGGGGCTCCTTCTCCTTCCCCAGAGCCCCGATCCTCCAACTCTGCCAAGAGCAAACTCTGGACGGGGATTGTGGCAGCCGTGATCGGGGTGATCTTCTTTGCCATGGGGCTCTTCCTCTACCTGAAGAGCAAGACAGGTGAGTCTGGGGGGCTGGATGAGAGATTGTGGGGAGGGGAGCATCCAG